GGAGTTGAAGTCCACTCATCTTAAAGTGGCCAAGTTTGGACAACACTGACCTAGGGATCTATTGCCACATTCAATCCAAAATTACTTCGTGGTTCACACAATTGCAGGAAGCCATGATATTCAGACCACACACTTACAGGTCTGTGAAAAAGTGTTTATCTGCTTCTGGATTTATGCATCACTTTGCTGCTGGAAGTTATCCAAGCTTCCTGAGACACCAATGCTGGGTGTTTTTATTTATGAAATAAACGAAACCCACACCACGTACATCACAAGGACCCACGTGAAGCTCTGATAACATCTGGTGGGAAAGCTGGGCAAAAATCCAGAAATTAAAATAAGGGGAAATCTTCCTTCCCGGAACAGTAGGTCAGTATAGAGCACTGTTTCTCAACCTTGGGAACTTTAAGATGTGTGGACCTGGACTCCCAGAATTCCCCAGCCAGCATGGGGAATTCTGGGAGTTGAAGTCCACACAGCTCAAAGTACCCAAGGTTGAGAAACACTGATACAGAGAGATCTAACAAAGGTCTTTTCAATTCTGTGGAATAACTCTGACGTATTTATGACTGTTCTCTCTGTGGTTTTAATTAACCTAAACATTGTTTTATTTTTTCTTGAGGGTCATAACCATGTATGCGCATTTACAAAACCAAGCCACAGTTCTTTCATTGCCATTCAGTACAGTAGCATGTTGGACTACAATTCTCATAAATGCCAACCTGAGCCTGATAGGGGCCATCTGGCACCCTCCACTAGACTTGGGTTCCGGCTCTCGGCATCCAGATCAGGGAACTGATTGTGGGAATTTCGGGCAGTTGGAATCCCAACATGTACGGAGGGCACCAGGTTGGGCAACTGAGTTCTGTCCTCTTTGTAACACTCACCTCTCGGGCTCCCGATCCAGGTCCTCCTTCGGCTCGCTGATGGACGTGGGATCTGCCTCATCTTTTCCATGAGCCACCTTCTTCTGGGCTGTGTGCAGGTCACCAGCTCTCCCTTCTTGTTGTGGGCAAAACACACGCTTGTCTTCCACCTGCCCTTCCTTCAGCCAGCTGCGCTGCAAGGCGATGATGTCCTTCAGGTGTTCCTGCAGGGACGTCTGTCTGATCAGCCGGACCTCAGAGGCCACCAACAAGACAGTGACGTTCAATGCCAAGTGTCAGACCCAATAAGAGAAACCTAGCATTCAGATGGAGAGCTACCCTGGTGTAGTGGTTAAAGACACGAGGTCGAAACCAGGAGTCGATGAGTTCTAGTCCTGCCTTGGGAATGAAGTCAACTGGGGGACCTTGGGCCAGTCACTCTCTCTCAGCCCTCAGAAGAAGGCAATGGCCAGCCACTTCCAAAAATGTTGACGAGAAAACCGCAGGGACTAGTCCAAGCAGTCACCAGGAGTCAAAACTAACTCAAAGGCACAAACTCTCTTTCTCTCTCTCTGCACATCAACTGAATCCTCTAGATTCCCACAGTTTAAGGGGGGGGGGGAAGGAAAAAAAATGGGTCAGGCCCAGGACAACACGTACCAACTGTAATGGTAATCGTATGATTGAGGGACACTGCGAAGGTCGTAAATGCACGCTTTGGTTGCAAAATAATTTTTTGAGCACCGTCATAACTTGGGACGGTTGCTGCATGAAACAGTCAATAAGTGAGGACTACCTGTAAGCTCTTTTAAAAATCCCTATGTTTGGCTGCATTGTTTTCAAAAGGGAACTTCCATCTTTTTGCTAAGAAAACTGCATGGCTGAGTCTGTGAAGTCACCGGGAATTGACTCAACTTAAAGGCTTTTACTACATACTTGTGTGCAACAACAAATAAGCGTTCAAAACCACTGATGCTGCGATGCACTGAGGCAGTTTCCGAAAGCAGAGGCCTCACACGGCCCCACGGCCTGGTGTCTAAGGGTGACTCACCTGAACCAGCTGCTCTTTCAAGGCTTCCAGAACTGACTGACTCTCCAGGCGAAGCCGTTCTTCCTGCTGCCTCATCTCCAGCTCCTGGAGAAGGGAGAGTCGAGCGATTAAATGCCTTGGAACGGAAGTATGGATTGACTTTCCCCAGCTATGGGTGACCAGAGATCTTTTGAGCTGGAAGCAGGAGAACAGGCCAGATGCAAGAGTCCTAGGGTTGGAAGAAATCTTAGAGATCAACCAGTCCAGGGTTCCTCAACCTTGGCAACTTTAAGACGGGTGGACTTCAACTCCCAGAATTCCCCAGCTGGGGAATTCTGGGAGTT